AAAGCTTTTATTTTTGTGGTATTGAGCTGTTTCTTTAAAGAAGAATGGATGAGTTAAAACTTCCAGAAACTACAAGGCCAGGAGATTTCTTTCTCATTTTTTACCTTTCATTGACTATAAGATAATACAAATTGTGAGGACATGCATCTCTCACACATGCTATTTGGTCTCTAAGATGAATTAGAAAGAAAAAATCCTTACTGAAACAACCATTTATCTCATCAATGATAACTAACATTAAAAATGTATTGATGTCTTCTATTGATTTTATTTTGTAGTGGTCTAACATTACAGTATGAAGAAATAAAAAGAAGACGAAATTGTGCCATTACAGGTATAATTGCTAAAGGCTGTGTAAATAATTGGCAAGGCAAGGTAAGTTAATCTTTTTCAATACAAAATGAAAATTTTTATTATCTAATTAATGGATAGTTTTAAAATAGAATTTGCAGCTATCACAACAAACCTGTTATTCTGTTAATAAAACATTTAAAGCTGTTTGTTTTAAAAACATTAAAGTTTGTTTAGTTCAACTGATTTTGATAGATTATGAATGGGATAATCTGAATATAATTTGAAGCAGAGTTTGGGAAGGAGCTAAAAAATCTCTATTCAATAGTTGGGGATATTCCATAATATTCACTACAAGTAAAGATGCAAACATATACTTTGACAATTTTTTGTACTTTTACGTTATTGCTTTTTAAGAGTATTCACTATAAGTACTAAATAGTCAAACACAGTTGTACTATTATTATTGGTTGCATAATCAGCTAAATATACTGAATTTAATGTTTCCTGAGGGCCTGACATTCGCAAATGTTTTATTACTCTTATATCTTATTATTTCAACAGAACTTTAATCTAACGATCACTGTTCCTGGTCTAAAGGAAGAATCCCAAGTTTTGAAAATTAAACTTCTCCCAGGTAAGTAAAATATTTGGAATATATTTAAGCATATGTTGAAAATGACACTAATGTAATGATTTACAAAGAGATGTACATTTTGTAGACATATTGGAATCCAGTTTCGGCATAGAATAGATCAACTTTTGTGGTATTGTTTTTCTGGTTGATTAACATGAACATAGTACAAATAGCTATACTGAATATCGGAAGAATGAGATGAATATGAAAAATGAAGATTTCTGATTTGTCATATTTCAGAGGAAAAAATAGTGTAAGGGTTTTAGAGGAGAGCCAGTTTGGTGCGGTGGTTAAGATATCGGGCAGAAACCGACAGATGAGTTCTAATCCTGCCATAGGCATAAAGCCAACTAAGTGATTTTGGAGCCAGTCACACTTTTTTTTATCTCAAGAAGCAGATAAAAAAAACAATCCCTAAATTTTGTCAAATAAACATCAGGAATTTATCCAGGCAGAAGCTAGGAGTCAACATTTATTAGCCATCACATATACATACACATGTGCCCACACCCACACATACTTATTTTGTACTTAGACCTTCAAATAACTTAGGCCTTTTACTTTTTGAAAAAAAATGGCTTTGACATTGCCTGGACAATGAGAAGCCTTATCTTTGTTCAGGATTACTGTGAGAGAAGGGAATGGAAAATGTTGAACCATATAGAACTTTGAAATGCTTAAACACCATATAAGCACTAAAATGAAAAAAGAAACAGGTAACATTCACTACAAGGGAAGCTTTGTTTATTTTCAAATGGTCCCTGAAATTTTCCAGTTATTTTATATGACCATTTGAAGTGAACCAATACATGATAATGAACATTCAGCATTCTCTTTCACTGTTGAATGTAAGAAATATTTTTTAAAAAATATATCTTTAATGAAGCTGACTCCTAGTGACTACATGAACATCTCCAAACCATAAGTGTTTTGCCACTGGTGCTATCTTTTTTTTTTTTTTTGGGGGGGGGGGGGGGGGTTAATCTTTTAGTTTAGTTTCTATAGTGTTTTCTCGTGGCTTTGAAGTATGTGGCAAGGGTAAACAATCATCTCCCCAATTTACTTTGGCAAAATAGAGTAACAAAAAATATAATTTAAACATTAATTTTACTAAAATATATAAAAATGAAAATGTGAAATTTCTTTTTAACTTTAGGTTATCTTATAAAAAAATCATTAATTGACAAAAATAGAAGATTGGCTGCATTGGCTTGCATATCCATATCTTGTATGTTGTATTGTATTGTTTATGGCATGGATATAATTTAAAATATTGACATTTTCAAAGTTTTTAGTTTGTTTTTGGACATTTTATTTTTTATTGATAAAATTGATTGGCCACCCATCTTACTTAATGCTAAAAAGATAATTCTTTTAATGCTTGTAGCAATAAATTAAATGTCAGTTTCTGACCTCCAACAGGCCTTCCTCAGCAGCTAAGTGTGAAACCAGATTCTGATGTCTTGACAATTGAGAATGGAACAGCTTTCTCTTTTCATGTTGAGGTATTGGATGAAGTAGGTAACATAACAGCTCAACCAAACCTGCTTGTTCAGTGCAAGGTAGGCAGTGTCTCTCAAATACAATTGCTTATATTGCTGAAAATAACATTATGGAAATATTCTGTGAACCCATAGCATATGTATTTACTGAAAACGTCATCCTTTTTATAGGAATAAACCATTGTTACTTCATCATGTTTGTAGTCTTGTCTTAAAATTTAGTTCTAAGACAGTTATACCATCTTGAATGGGCCATAACCTTAATCGAAATTATTCTTGATTATATTAGTTTTTAGGAGTTCCAGGCCTTCCTGTATATTCTGTAGATTTCAGCAGTCCTGAAAAAAATACATTAACTGGACCAGTTCTGCACATTCAAAATATAAAGAAAGATCAAAAACTTAAAGCAACAATCGAAATACCAGTAAGTTAAAGATATTCCCCCTCCTCCCTCCAGAATGCTATAACCCTTGCATATGCTTTTCTCTGTCTACTATCAATGCTTTTAACCTAACTAGAATGTTTTTTTAAAGCTGACAAAGCATAAAATAGTCTTTGGTGTTGATATAACTTTTAATTTCTTTTAAGATTATAGGTGAACTTCAGACATGAAAATCACGGGGAACAAATATATGTAATTTCTTAGACTATTCCCTGGCATATTAGAAAAAAAATTGTGTTAACATCTGCAGCAACTGAAAGAAATATCCTTGAATCTTGAACTTGGTTAATTTTGTACAAGCATATCTCTACAAGTTTCATGTCAATTATGGCTTTTACAAATAGGGAGTAACAGCATTTTATAAGAATGCTGTGTTTTTTAGCACTAAATCACTTTTATTGGAAATGGCTTATAAATTACTTTTTGGACATTAAGAACTTCCAAAAGTATACGTTTTGTTATACTGGATGATCTTCCTCCAACCCACAGTAAAATATAAGTTTGAAACTTAAAGAAAAACTTTTTAAAAATTTGGAATTAAGCAGCTAAAGGCAATTAGACTGTTATTTTTGGAAGGAAATTAACTGGATCAAGATTGAATGGAAATAAGACTTTGAAAAAGTTAGAATATTGCTTGTTGTTTGTATAAAATCCTATTTAACTATATGAGGATCTGAGTTTTAGTGTAAGAAATCCTTTCCTGGAAAATGTTCTGGATGAGAGAAAAACATGATAAGAAAAGAATTTGAAGACTGGTTAAGGAAGCAATCAGAAATAAATAAAGATTATAGTTAAAGGAGAATTCCCACTAATATAGAATGAAGAAAAATATTTTAACCCTGAAAGAATTTAAGGATACTTGGCAACAGTGTATCCAAAACATACTCTTTAGACCAATGGTAGCCAACCGGTCGGCCGCGAGAAAATTTTGGTGGGCCGCAGAGAAATGCCCCCCAAAACACCCCCCAAAGCCTGCCCACCCACTGGCTCCCAC